CCTTGGTTTTTTTTTTCTTTTTTTTTTTAAAAGCCTTGTGGCACTTTAGAGACTAACAAATTTATTTGGGCATAAGCTTTTGTGGGCTAAAACCGACTTCATCAGATGCATGGAGTGGAACATACAGTAGAGAGGTAGAAATACACAGAATATGAAAAGATGGGAGTTGCCTTACCAAGTGGGGGGTCAGTGCCAATGAACCAATTCAATTTAAGTTGGAAGTAGGCCATTCTCAAGGAGTGGAGAGAGTTATCTTTTCATATGCTGTGTATTTATACCTCCCTACTGTATGTTCCACTCCATACAGATGATGAAGTGGGTTTTAGCCCACAAAGGCTTATGCCCAGATAAATTTGTTAGTCTCTAAAGTGCCACAAGGACTCCTTGTTGTTTTTGCTGATACAGGCTACCACTCTGGAATCACATCTCAAACTTTGGCCAACTGCTTTTGGTTCAAAGTGGAAATTTTCATGTAAATTGTTTTTGTGCACCATATACTTTTGTGCTATTATAGAGGCCAAACAAAGTATTGCTATCAATGCTATGAAAAACAAATCCTGTAATGACTCCAGTATTCAAGAGCAAAACATTTTTAAAATTTAGTATTCTATATCTGCAAAATTAGGAGTCAGAATTTAAATTCTGAATGTTCAGCCAGTCATGATGTTAATGAACCTTTACCTTTGACGTCTTTGCATGTAATCCTTTTTAAAAAAAAAAGGCTGAATGTTTCAGTTTTGTACTCAATAAATGTCTTTCAGAAAAACTTAGATCAATTTTGATATTCACTTACCTGTACAGTAAAATTTTACAGCCTCAGATGTATACCTAGTCATCTAGAGGAAGCTATTCAAAACTCTGGAAAAGGTTTCTCTGCTTTAGCGGTGCCATAATGTCCTGCTATCAAAATATGACTACAATAAATGACCCTTGTGCAATTGCTTTGAACAATCTTACGAGCTTTAACAAAGGCATTCAGACAATTTCAAAATCCTGGTAAAGCAGTAAGTTACTAGTCACTGAATCTTGTTTTGTCCTTGGGTAGTACTACAATAGGTTATTTTTAAATTGTACTTCTAAACCTTATGTAACTAACACTCATGGCCAAGTCACCACCTTAGTTGAATGAGGTGGACAAGATAGAAGTTACTGAATTTCTTCTCAAATGCTTTTCCTCATCCTTGTGTAGGAAAAAGCTAATGAAAGCTGGAGTGCATAAGTGTTAATGCTATGATCTAACTCTGCCCCACTGGTTCTTAACTAGGGGTATGGTCTATGGGTGAAGCTTGTGTGTAGAGTATCATCTCTTGTCCCCACTACAGTCACTGCTTGGTGAGGAAATAATCTGTCGGTTTGTGAAGTGTTCTGTGATCCTTTGAAAGACCCAGTACTGGATCCATTACTGTATAGATAATAGAATCAGGACTTGCAATTGAAAGACAGTTCTAGAACAGTAACTACACCTCTAACCTCTGAATTTGTTATATGGGGTTGCATTTTATGATATAACGCGGTAAAGCAGTGCTCCGGGGGGAGAGGGGGTGCTGCGCACTCTGGCAGATCAAAACAAGTTCGATATAACACCGTTTCACCTATAACACGGTAAGATTTTTTTGGCTCCCGAGGACAGCATTATATCAGGGTAGAGGTGTATAAGTACTAACATCTAGAGGTAGAATAAGTGTGTTGCAGTTTTGTCATGTTTAGTACATGCTTAGCATCTGTTTCAAAAACAGTGTGCAACATCCAGTGGACACTTTCCAGTTTTATTCTGCTGTCATAACAGTCACACAGAAGAGTTGAAGTGTAACAGATCATGCTCTGCCTTCAGACATTTTGGTCATATTTTAAACAAATTTACTTAAAGCCATTCTCCAGTTGTTTATTTACAGGGAATAAACTGTACACAAGTTAGAAAAACTGTCATGCTTAATTAAATTTGACATAATTATTAGTCCAAGAACTTCTCCAACACTTAAGTCAGGCCAATTCTAAGGCTCTTTAATGAGCATAAACAAAATGGAACACTCACTTTATGCTTGTTTCTCCACAACTGAATGCAGCATAATACAGTCTAAATGCCTGATTAAAATTGACCATGTCTGTTATTACTTTGGTAAACTGTTTAGTCCATTATAAATAATGGTCTGCATTTATTATCCCTCATTCTTGCCTTTTTAATAAGGCCTTAATTCAGCAAAGCATTTAAACGTGCCTATTAAGAATGTATATAAATTCCAATGCAGCTGTCAACAGGACTTGGGCCCATACTTAAAGTTCAGCATGTACAGAAATGCTTTGCTGAAGAGGGATAGACTGCTGAATTGGGATCGAAGACATTAAGGATTAACTGAAAGGTCAGGCTCTTAACTGTTTCCATGCTATTATGAAGCTGATTGGAGCTTTGACCAAGGCCTGTAAATAGAGTTTATAGTCTAAGCTTGTACCAATGATTCTTTTATTTAACTCCGTTTCTAAGCTGCTTTCCTATCTTGTATAGTATGTTGAGAGAGGAAGGGAGCGCTTCCTTTCACTTTTACCCACCATGGATACTTTTCATTTCCCATTGAAATCTCTCTCACTTCCATTATAAACTGGTCTATCAAACATGGAATTATCAAAGTAGCAGTGATTTAACAAACCGTGATTACCATTTCTTCTATAAGCAAAGGATTTCAAGCCTTGCTCTATATAAACTTTAAGCCAGTTACAATTTAGTACTTGAAAGTATTTCAGAACTGTAAATATTAGCATTCTTTAGAACAAAAAAAAAATTAGGAACACTTACACTTTCAGTCACATTCTCAATTCAATTTTAAAAAGCTGAATATTTAGCTGAAAAACAGATCTAGTTACATGTATAAACATCTTCAACCTTGTAAATTAAAGATTAAATAAAAATATTTAACATCTGAACATCACTTCTACCCTAGAAAACAAATTAGGTATTGAAGAAGAGTAAAAAAATTGCTTTTCTTCAGCAGGCTTCTTTTCTAAAGGTAACCTTTCTAGAGTTAAGCACTGTAACTCAAGAAGGCTTGCTTTGTCACACACAGAGCATTCTAAAAAGAGTGCATACTTGAGACTAAGAAAAATAATTAAGTGCTTATTTTCCTTCCAGAATCACACAGAACTCTGCAGTAACATCACAGGAGGAAAAATATGTATATTTTTAATTTTATTTTAAAACATTTTCCATTTACCCTGTTCTGTGGGATGTTATTAAGGCAGGTGTGGATGCTGTGTGTTTTATTTCTTGCTGCCTTCCCCTGTGTGAAAAACTTCTTAAGTATCTGCTTATCCTTTACTGAATTACTCCAGAGTCTTTTTTTTAATAATACCTTCAAATAATAATAAACTAAATCAAAGTGCAAGCCACCTTATTTCAGCCCTTCATAAAAAGCATGAATATTTTACCTCATTCATCTTCACCTATTTTAAATACAAAAGCTGAATGAGCCACTAATAACTTACACCCTCTTTATCCCCAATTAAGCTCTCATAATTATACGTGTAAGTGATTCACCTACTCAGCTCAAATGAATTTGGAAGTTCACTTTCAAAGGAAAAACATCTAAACCCATACAATTTTTTTTTCGCTACCCTACTTACATGATGAGCAACACTGAGCAAACCTAAACTTACTCTTATCATAAAGATCATTCCTCTACATGTACAATGCTGAATATGCAGCACAGAGAACATTTCAGAGACATTTTTACTGCAACATAAAAGCTTTTTTCCTTTTGAAAAATCCTTTAGCTTCAATAACCCTTTGATGATTGCACTATAAACTTCCAGCAGTTTTTATTTAAAAAGAACACATTGCCAAAGCCTGACTGGTGGACAGTAAGTACATTGAAAAAATGTCAGAAGAGGTTATTGGGGTTAGGGGTGGGGAGATGTAACTGATTTTGTTCTCTCTTACAACCATCTCCATTATCATTCCATGATTTGGCTTGTTTGTTCAAGTGCTACTCTGATCATGATCAACCTGAGAACAAAATGAATTTAGAAGTCCCACCACCAAATAATTCACCATGTTTTAATACTGTATAGAAATCAATTGCTCTCTTATTCTGAACTTCAATGCAGGTGGGTTACCACAATAGCGTGGGCTGAACCATATAGAAAAAGGCCTTACACAGGCTCTGTTAGTAGACCTGTGTGTGCCACAGTAGCAAGAGACTCCCATGTCAGTGCTGACACGTTACTAATATCTTTGTTGGAAAAATGACATTAGGAAAAACTATGACTTCATGTAGCACCAGGGGTTTGAAAGAAAAAAAATTAAACAAAGATGAAGATTTTATCTTCAGATACCATATACTGTTTTTAGTACCACTTGGGGGAATGATAGCAAAAGGGAAATTGAAGAAAGTCTTACCCACAGAAAACAATTAAAAAATATATAGACACAAATGTCAGTATTCAAAATGCTGCTATTTTGCTTGCTTCTCGAACGCCGCTCAAGTAGGCTCCTGTAACCGTCTGTGGAAAGTGCCTGTTTGTGGCCTATAATAAAATAAAAATTGCATAATTTCTGAAACAGCTATAGAAGAACAAAAATAAAATTCTGCTCCAAAACAAAAGTTCTGTGTAGTGCAAGAGTATTTGATATATGCTTTTACACAGATAT